AGGTTGTCACACGAGGAAAGAAAATGAAAAAAACGAGGGTCACATCAGACGTCACATTGAGCTTCCATCAACACATCCCAGGGCGCAGAGACTCCGTATTGACTACGGGAGGGCACAAGGAATTCCAAAAGAATACAGACTGCTGATCCCCTGGTTCAATCAGTCAAACACCAATGACAAACCGAACAGCAGGAGAAACCCCAATAGTTGCCTCATATGATCCATGCGAAAGGTGTCTAGGGTATTTCATGGGGGAGCAAATCAAACAGGCGAGGGTGAATAGCAAGGGTTGTCATGGTAATCTGGAAAATAATCCGAACATACATACATATGTATTGATGCAAAATTTTGTCGCAGTTACCACAAGGTTACATACCATGCAATAACCGGGCTGCCCATCGATTCACTTGCCAGATGATGACAAAAACGATGCGATTTGGCAACGCCAAATACGTAGCTGGCGTCAACAGACAGTAATTATCTTACAACACAGCCGGAAAAGAGGAATTCTGTCCTCATTAAAAGGTGGTACCGCCGAACATCACTGGTCATCAAACCTTCACACGAAGTAGGCCGGCTCCGCTTCTTCTGAGCAGCGATATAATTAAGACCGGTGGATTTGCGTTTTGTTCACACAAATGTATCGAAAAACCGGCTCTGGCCCGAAGTGGTCCCTTTCAGTTGATGTATTATTGATTGTTTTAGCACAGGAAAATCCATCAGTAGTCTCGAAATTCTTAGTTGGAGATTGAACAATTCGATTGGGTTAAAAGTTCGAACGAAGCAAAGGTTGTCTATTGACCTGAACTCATGTAGTGATGGCGTAATCGGGTTAACCTAAACATAAAACAAAAGGCAAACAAAATGACCTGCTGAAAACTTACCGATATCTGCATGATGACCCCGGTTAGCGAAGAAAAACGAAGGTGTAGAGGACCCGGGGACGAAAACCTGCCAAACAGGAAACAGTATTCAATATTGGGAGATTTCCGTATTCTTCATATTTCATTCGCATATTTTACCACATTGTTTGAAGGACAGGGTAACGCTTGTTGTGGATATATCGAGAGTCGTGCATTAAAACGCGACAGGACAGAAAAGGTCCTGATGAGCAACTTCGAAATAGCAAGTATGAGAAGAAACCGGTTGGAAGCCATGTGGTCTACTTATAGAGGAAACGCTCACAAGGTTGTTGGAAAGTTTTTGACAGCTCCCGACCGATCTCGCCCTTCTTGGGACTCATCAGGTAGGGGCAGTCCCCGAGTTTCCGTTAGCTTTATTTCCTACTTGAACCCAAACTGCTTCAAATTTGACTTCGAAACTCATCAGAACACCAATTTGGATTTTACGGTAAACTCATCCGGAACCCAGTTGAATACCTCGTTTATGATGAAGATGGGTGTAGAAGTCGAATTTCGGGCAAATTGGGTTCAAGTTGAACATGAAGTTGATGGAAACTCAAGGAGTGCGTCTACCTGATGAGGCTCAAGAGAGGCGAAACCAGCCGTGGGCTATCGAAGATTTCTCAGCAACCTTATGAGGAGTGCACTAAGTCTATACAAGGTATCGCCATATATCCAATATCGTACCAACTGAAACATGAGGCTGCCTATAGCGCCACACTCAGTTGCTTAAGAACATCATACACGAGGGAATAAGCTGGGTTCCAAGTGAGTAATCTGTAAAACTATCGTATCAACTGAAACATGAGGCTGCCTATAGCACCACACCCAGTTGCTTAAGAACATCACACACGAGGGAATCAGCTGGGTTCCAAGTGAATAACCTGTAAAGAACAAATTAGGATAGCTCTACTTAACATCAGAACATGAGACAATTCCATACGAGAGTGCGAGGCAATGGGAAAGTAGGAAACTGTTATATCCAATGTACTAAATAAATTTACCGGAGTGAATGGACAGGGCGGACGTATATGACAATGAATGGGAAGAAGTTACATGGGGCTTTTTGGTTGTGGTCGGGGAGCAGTAACCACAAAAGATAAAAGTTTGTTTGTTTTCTAATTCGCAAGGCTGTGCGTGCAATGTTAGTCGCTTGTTGACAATGAATGGGAAGAAGTTACATGGGGCTTTTTGGTTGTGGTCGGGGAGCAGTAACCACAAAAGATAAAAGTTTGTTTGTTTTCTAATTCGCAAGGCTGTGCGTGCAATGTTTTGAAGTCGCTTGTAGTGAATTGTCACACACAAGCCTGAAGGTATGCGATTGATTGCGTCGGATTTTGCCAAGAAATTAATCGGAGGGTATTGCACGTATTAAAGATATTTAGAGAGCATGCACAATCAATGAAATCGCTGCTGCGACACTTCCTAGTACGAACTTGAGGAAGCTAACCGAAGTGGACCGTGACAGAGAGGCTGATGTGTTATGGAGTGACGGACTGGTGAGTACCCTTCACGTCTGCATGGTCACATGCCAGAGAGGGGCACGTAAGATAGGGGAGTATGGTACAATGAACCGATTTCGCCAACGTAGCGACTTTACTGCAGCGGGATCCCTGTGTAAATGGGGCGATTCTTTTACACAAGGACAGGTGATACGGGAGCAGGATCCTATTTATACTAAGCTCCGTCTGACACAAGGGCGGCATTTAAGCCTGAGGCCTGTTGGAATCGCCTATGGACTCGAACTCACGAACGTGGAATGGCAGATATTTCGCGGAAAAACGTCTGGAAATGAAAATCCCTAATGATGGACAAACCCACATCATGAACAACTTGGTGACAAAGGAACATCTCAAACCAATTCTTGGTTTCCTGGGGATCAGGGAATTGCGGTTCATCACCAGCAACCCTGATAATTTTGTTCGTACTTTGCAATCCGGTACTATTTTTGGGAAATGCGTTTCCGTTTCTTCTGAGGAACTAGGCATCGTACCAGGAGAAGTTAGCTAGTCGGTCGCATATAGCACAGATCCACTATCACTGCCAGTAGCATCAAGTGGAATATTGCGTATCGGGCTGAATTACCTGACTAGCCTAGGTAGCATAGGACAGGTTGATGAACCGAGTCAGTCAAATAGGACGAATATTGAAGATACTGCGACTCTACATATATCCTCAGCCATTGAATTCTGTACGCTAAACAATATACTCCCAGATTCGTGAGGTGAAGTTATTCACCGGTTCCTTTTAGGTATATTTGAATGGCTACGCCTCGCAGTCGGGCTGAGTGTGTCTAGCGAGGTATTCCAGATAGAGGCTGATCCAAATGCTCGACAGGTTTCCAGGAATGATCCGCATTGTCGACGAACACTTAAAGAACACGGCGCCACTCTCAACCGTTGTGTCAAACAAGGCATTCATCTGTATCCAGATAAAGTGGACAGAGCAGCAAACAGCAACTTAGCAGGCAATGGAAGCCGTTACTGAATTACCCGTTTTAGCTGACTGTGGTTCGAAGCAGCAGCTATTCATTCAATGCGACGGCAGCTAATCCGTTTGGGAGCGTGGCTGCTTCAAGAAGGATGATCAACAGACTAAAGGAGTTTCAGTCTATCAAAAGTTGGGCAGAACTACGCACAAATAGAGGAGGAAATGCTATCATTTGTATTCACCATTGAAGGTTTCAACACCTGTACGCTTGACAGAAAAAAAGGTCGGATGTTTATGACCGATATGCTTCCCACTGATCACCAGCCCAGAGGTACCGAAAATCAGGAGTTCGAACCTATTATAGCGATTTGTAACTAGCACCCCCGGTATATTGATAATATGCTTAAAGTTGTGAGAGCTAGCAGAGACGTGTGCTTCGGATGACCTAGGCATCGCGGAGCCGTGGAGCAACTGGATGAATTGGTATCTATGCAGCTGGGAACGTTGGAACGAACCAACAACTTGTCATCATTGCTTACGCGGTCCTTTTAAATCGGGCGTTGCTGGACTCTCGTAACGTCACTAAAAAAGTTACGGGTGGCGATCGCCACAGTCCAACAAGTCCAACGAAAAAGCGACTTGCTGCCACAAAGCAATCTTAGAATTCGTAAGGACTATCATTCACACAGGGTCAACCATAGTGAGAATGTTAGGTACGAACATTAATTATACGCATAGACTGCATAAACCGTTGAACTTTCGCGAAAGTTACTGGCCGATTTTATACTTTTGCTTGGGGTCGCGACCAGATGGATGAGTTGCTGACTTCACTCAGTGCCCCCATACTCAGCTGACGATTCGCCTCGGAGCACACACAACCCAAATCGACTTGATTTGATTTAAAGTTGTGGACTGTCTTTGGTACCTTTCAAGCTGAAAATGACTGAACGAAAAGAGCTCCGCGAGGCTAACGGCCTTATGGGATGCGAAGTAGGTCGCTGTCTGACTACAGCCCATGCAAAGTGACTATTTCGTTTACCATGGATGAGTGTGCACATTTAACTGCCTATCCGATACTCCTGCAAGATCCGTGTAATAATTCGAAGATGGAGACGTCGGTGAAGGCATTAACGAAGGTCTGGAGGGAGTTGGGGCTTTCTAGTCTGGAAGTAGTCGTCTTTCACCAATCCGCCGGAACTTGGGCAACTGTCTGGGTTAGTGAATTTATCGATTGGCTGACCTGCGAACGAGAGGTTTGGTTTTGACCCCACAAATTCGGTTACGGCGCCAACACAGACCTGAGTGATAAAATCAGATAGCTGAATCATAGGGTCGAAACGCAACCTGATTGCATAACTCACCGGTGTGATGACCGTAAGGTCCGGAAGATGACTGCCTCCAGCGCACGGATGATTACTGAGTAGCACGTCTCCTGGAGAAAATCGGTTGTTAGTCGCTTTGATCTCAAACGAAATGGAAATTGAAAAATAGAAATAGCATTGGTATGGGGTTACCGCGTTAACGTCTTATACATACAGTAGAATACAGTTAGAGGTAACAGCTTGAGAACCAACAAGCCGCACGTGAAGATACTCTTTGCAGAGCTCCCTTTTGATGGCCTCAAAGAGGTCATGGTGATAAGGCTCCATCCACAAAACCACACATGGACTTGGGGGAAGTTTTACTTGAAAGGAAAAACAGCAACATGTCAGGGGTATATGAAGCTATGTTCAACAAGCTAGACATCAAACTACATGTGACCTACGAATACAAATCTTCAGTTTCCGGTCGGTATACACAAGATAACCAACGTAAATAGAAAAGATCGCCTAAAATGAGCTCGCCAATCGCAAGAAGGAAAATGTTGTCCAAGGATTTTATGTAATACGTTATCCCAAAATTAAGAGAGCAGTATGTAAGTAACATGCTGGATAACGCCTATGAGCTGAGATTAACTCTAAAATTCGGTTAAATACAAATTACTCAAAGTTTCTGAACAATCACTCTTCATCTGTTTGTAGATTGTCCTATTTCTGGTTACGACATAGCTGTAGTAACCTACTTGGTACTGAACAGCATGTTGCATGGCACCCAAGTGGACTGGGATGTGGGGCGCATTCGCCACCAATCCACCATCAGAGTCGAAAAGTGCGCAGGAGAAATCAAGACGTTCTTTGATGTTGGTTGAAATCGCTGTACGTTGTAAAACGCTGCAACGGAAATAGACAGCAGAGTGTAGGTGGATATGGCAAACGGAGGACATTCATCCGTTGAATCGGAAAAGGCTCGGAACTGGGAAGATTACTGATTATCGTGGCAGGATCTCGGGATACGTCTACCTTGTTTGTGGCTCTCGAGTGAGTGAGGCAGTAAAGGAATGGTAAAGCAGAAACTGTCCCAAGGTTGTCGCAGTTAGCGTTGGTGCATGTGCGTGCATCATCTCAGAATCAAGCTGTAAAACCCTAAAGGTGAATTTGCACTTTGTATTGGTCCTATGAAACCGAACACCCAATTAACAGAGCGGAACTCCCCCCCCAAATGCATGACCTACGGACCTAACCAGTGCAGTGAAGTGAACAGGTCACTTGAATGTCAGAATAACACCTTGAGTCCGGTTAAAACCTGCGAAACTATTTATGCTTGAATTGTCTCACACTACTGTGGTGACAAAAAGGAAGAACTTTGTTAAACGAAGTTACTTTAGTACTCCTAGGACGTCTAGTTAATCCAAACTACATTTACTGCTGAACCTGTTATATGGAATTCAGAATAGGACTGGAGAAATAACTTACCGACCCATTTGTTCCGCTATGCTCATAAATCGATGAGAAAATATACTCAACTGGATCGCGTCCAGTTCCGTGCTCAAGTGGGGCTGTTGACTGTCGGTAACGCCAATCTGCAAAAAGATACCGAGAGTCCTGCATAAATGTGCCCCAATTCTGGTGGAGTAAAAAATGACGCTAGCTTCTCGATAGTAAAGCAAATGCAAGTGCTCACCACAGTGCCTTTACAATAACTCTGGCCTATGGCTCTTTACAGGCCCCCGAGTGATGATTCGTCGACAGCATTTCTCCGGATTTACATTCGAATCATTAGCTCAAACGCAGCGGCATATCTGTCTGCGCACAAGCCGCTTGATCATTTTAATTGCAAACAGGTGTTAAATAGAATAGTCGCTGCTGACAAGTAAATTCCCATCAAATACCAGCCAACCATCGATGATGAGTTCTAACTCACCTAACTCACCTATAAAATTGACGCGAATCAGCGGTTTTCGGGCAATCAGACCAGGGATGCTCCCATTATATATATGCTACACCTGAACGCCGCTAAGTACCTACAGCAGTTCGAGCAAGTGGTCGTTTACAGTGGGATGGTGAAAGGAGTTAAATTTAAAAGCCACAGAGGACACAGAATTGGACGAGTCGGGAGGAAGGTTGGCAAATACAGAGGGAGCGGACAAATACGGAATACTCACGCGTATCTCCATATCGCCCGTGCGTGTAATAGAGGCTGAGCAGTTCGGTTCGACAAGGATGGTGCTGAAAGAAGCACAAATGGTGGATTTCTGAGATGAGACAAAACGAGCGAATATTCTCTCGAGGGTGAGACAAAACGAGCGAATATTCTCTCAAGACGATGCTGGATGTGATCGGTCACTTATCGCCTCATCTATTCCTCATAATGCGAATGGTGAGTAAACAGATGCCCTGTTCCTGAGAGTGACTTCATAAACAAATAAATGGAAAGTGCTGTTCACGTAATACATGGCAGCAGATTTGGGGAATTATGGCACCAACCTGTGAGGGGCGATAATAATCGCAGGTCCATGTATTTCATGTCCGGCCAGGAGATTGTCTAGTAGATAAACCGAAGTACGCATCAACCCTTGATCAAAGTAGGTATTTGAAAACTGGAATGGTGAAAACATGAGTAGTACTCACTGAGGTAAACAGATGCCCTGTTCCTGAGAGTGACTTCATAAACAAATAAATGGAAAGTGCTGTTCACGTAATACATGGCAGCAGATTTGGGGAATTATGGCACCAACCTGTGAGGGGCGATAATAATCGCAGGTCCATGTATTTCATGTCCGGCCAGGAGATTGTCTAGTAGATAAACCGAAGTACGCATCAACCCTTGATCAAAGTAGGTATTTGAAAACTGGAATGGTGAAAACATGAGTAGCACTCACTGAGTGACAGGCAGATGACCGTGTGTGTGTGTGTGTGAGTGTGTCTGAATAAATCAGATAAGTCACATTCGTTGAACAAAACTGTTGTAAACCAGTGAAATGAAAATCAGAATCCTAAAGTGAAGTAAGTCAAGCAAGAAAAACATAGAAAGTTGAGAGGTGATTTACCTCAACCGGCTCCGGATGGGACCCACACGGAGCCTCTTCAATATTGGGGACAGACGCTGTCGTGCTAACGGCTCGACCGCGCACTCGAACGTCATCAACAACAATAGTCCGGTTGGAAAGAGTGANACTCCCTCCCTTTTGTAACTGTTGAAACAAAAGGAACAAAATGAAGGACAAGAAAAAGTGAAATTCCGTTGTAACGGCGGCTTACACTTCTATAACTCGAAGAAAATAACTACTGTACATTGTCCGTCTATGTTTGTCACATTAAGACCGAGACATTTCGCCTCCTTCAGTATGCGTACAACGGTGGAAAAACCAAGTTTGTTCAGTCTGCCTTGATTTAGAACAATGTATGTAATGAAGAAAGATATGAATCGGAAAAATACCAAATAATCATGTATCTTCGCTGTCCAACTTCTTGCGAATTTAGGCAAGCAACATGTGCAACGACGTGCGGGAAACAAACTTGAGGTTTGAGCTGAGTAGGATGCAAATTTTTGACAGAAGTTGAGCTTTGAAAGTGTACTGAGAGTTGCTCAAGCTTTCTGGCTGGCTCCCACGAGTCTTCTTGTGCATCGTCTGAATGGAGAGAAGTTGATATCAGGCCCTAACTTATCGAGTGCACAGCATACATACCCCGTTCCACATTGCGCCGCTTGATCAGCTCAATAGCCCATGAATAAACTAGATCACCATTGTTCTACCTAATCAGTCACCATTTTTGGATACAACGACATAAGTCTCTTAGCCATCTGAAAAATATTCAATAAGTGGAAAAAAATTCTGAGAAGTAAAAAAGGTAACTTCGTTAAACGGCGGAATTCCAAATCACTTCCACACCCAATCGCGAGCTAGACTGCTGACTACCGACGTGAAAAAACTTTGCTGCTCCAGACTACTTTGACTTGAAAGTAATAGGAGTTTTCGACGTTTCATAGAGGACTGCGCGACTGACCACGGATTGCACAGCAATGCGCCGGACACAATTGACCAACTGGCCGTAAACGGTGTGACCAACGCCGGAGATTTGGAAGGACAAGAAGGAATAAGTCGTATGGTTTTTTGGCCCTGCTTGGGACTTCGAGACACCACTACTCTAATGTTTCAGCTCTGAGAAAAGATCACAACCTTGTAAGATGCAGAATAATCATTATTCGTCAGTGACTTGATGCGTGGTCCTCAGGAAAGAGGTTAGTCACAGAAGTGGTCAAACAGATCCCTGTTCCTATGGCTTCCACTAAGAAAACGGGTACTACACTGGGTCACTGCCGATAGAGGGAACACAGTAGGCTGTGGCCGGTGGAGAAAAGTATTGTGAACTCAATAAGAAATAATCTCGCTTCGGAAGGGTGAGTCGGGTGATCACTGCGTTTTTTAATTGGACTTTTCTAAGCAGAACAACGATGAAAAACATCTAACTTCATTATCGTCGCATTTGAACGCGGCATAAATATATGAAGGATCAAATGTACTGGCTGCTTAGTGTTTGATACTTGGACCAGGCAAAACAGTTCGGAAAGTGAAAGCTGAGGTCACAAAAATGGTCCCGGCCTTTTTCCAGCCACCAGAGAATTTATAAGAAAACATGATAAGACATACCGTTCGACGAAAGACGCTTCAAAATCCCCGTATGAGGGCACCGCCTTTTCGGAGTGATTGTTCACTTGGTTTGCCTGGCACATGAGCGCGCCATCGGTTCCTTCGTAGCGCATATGAAGAAACACCTCAGTATCGATCCGAGACCTGGAAATGTTTGAGAATTCGCTATATAGTTTGTGATTCAAAATGTAGAAAGACACAATGGCTCTCCTTCACAAAAGTGCTTATTCACCTAGCACCGCATGCCATCGGTCAGGCACACGATTAGTGTCAGAATGCAAAATAGCCCAATGCAAGAATGCTGCATGCCGGTCTTTGTCGCAGAGTTGTGTTGAATGGTGCTTGTGTGATTGTTCGAAGTGTCAATTTTAGGCCGAGTATTATGGAACCTGAGTGGAATCGTCATACTTGGGAGTCTCTTTCGAGAGGCCATTGCAGATGAAAATGTAGGTTAACTCACTTGTCGAAACCTTCGCTAACTAAACGGTCCGTTGCTTCGTTAACGAGTTTGGTAATGAGCATGCCAATTGCGGGGAGATTTTCTGAAATAAGATGGAGACAGAAAACAACGTCACTACAAAAGGGCGAAACGAATGCATGAAATTGACACAGACTGGCTTTTATTCAAAATCTGAGCCGTTGAATGAAGTCTTCAGGAATCATGCTATTTTGGGTGAAACAGTGATGTGTATTGGTGCATACAGCGGCCTTTGAGCGGTCCACTAGAATCTTACGGTAGTTTTAACTGTCCAATCCAGTGACAATTTCTTGTACACAACCCATGCAGGCCTTCAAAAACATCGTGTAATACTTGTAGCTAAACATATTTTAGTCTCGTCGAATCACAAGCATCGTTCACGCCCATGAACAGTTGAATCTGGGAAGTGTACTGAGCCGTACTCTCGAGTTCTTAACAACGCAACCACCGAGAGATTCGTCAACAGAAACGAGATAGTGAGAAAACAGCCAACAAAGGAAGAGCGAGGTCGACACGTCTATCTAGTATGGGCCAATGTAGAGAGAGATGTAAAGAGAGATGTGTGCATAATTTATCAACTATCTCTCTGGAAACAAACAAGTCATGGGCTGCAGAAGCAGCGACCCGAATTCATGGACAAATGGCGCGTTTACGGAAGCACCTGCTACACTGTTGAGGAGAGGGCCCGGAAGAAGAAAATCAAAGAACGAACCTGGTTTGTAAAGCAGTTGACATGGAAGCTGTTCCTCTCGGACGACATCTGCGAGGGCCAACCCATAGGCAGATAAAATGCCGGCGTACCTGGGTAGTAGATAGACAATAAATGTTGAGGTCCACGTCTGTAAAAGCTCGATACGATGGGTAAGTATGACACTTCATATAAAATAAACACTTACCTATGAATGTGAACCTTCTTCATTCCTAGCAGACGTGCAAGTGAACAGGCATGCTGTCCACCGGCCCCTCCGAAGCAAGCAAGCAGGTGCTTCGACGTGTCGTACCCTTTGCCCTATCAAACATAGACGTCAGTAGAATGGTCAAACAGCGTTGTGACAGCACCAAGTAAGTATGCCAGAAAACAATTGTAGATAGGTATAGAGGCAGGGCTTATTTAGGGGGATTGAAGGGAGCGAATTACAGTGTTATGTGACACCGGAAGGTTTGTACCAGCTGTCTGAACGATACAAGTCAATGGAGTAAAAGAGTCCAGGAGTCCGGATGACAAACTTACAACCATCCCTAGCGCAACAGTCGTGACTTTTTATCCGGCTAAGAGTCGGTATTTCCTGAAATCAATGAAAATCAGCCCATGCATCGGCACCGGTATCTCAATCGGATAGACCAAGTGAGAAAAATGTGGTTAGTAAACTCCCATTATACAATCTGAATAGTCCTAAGTAACGGATGCCTTTACCCTCGGGATGCATTGCGAATACACATCCCAAAACCCAAAAAGAAGCAAAATCCTCATTCAAAGTCCAACCAACAAGTTGTTAATGTTTTTGGGGAAACCTTAGAAACTTTTAAAACAATTAGACTGCGTTGTTACTCAGCAACACTGCATGCGGAAGCATATTTTCTGCTGACCTGAATGTTCCAAATGTTATTAAAGGTCCACGTTAGGTGCATCCGGGTGAATGCATTTGTCAGTAACAGGTATTCCTACCTTCCTCGGTGTTCATACCAGGCGATCAGATAATATAAATGATGGTATATAATGGTGCAGCAAAAGATGGTTGTTCATCATGAAGCTAGAGCTCGCAGTAGTAGAAGTCAGGTTTATTGTGGCCCCAAAAGGTTTCGGAGCATCTTTGTCAGGTTTCCAATGATAGCGGACTCTTCTTCGAAAGACCCACATTGGTGACGTCAGCACATTGATACAGTACACTTGCATATCTCATATCACCTAAGTTAGATGAATCCATGCTTGCAGCATGAGCGTATTCGCTTAGGAATTCACGAGGAGGATGTCTGGATGCGTCGAATTTCTCATTAAAGGGGATGGTCACGTCGGTCCCGCTTTGATGTCCCTTAACCGAATCAGTGAGGTGGCCTTAACCATTTAAAGGTTGCAATAGTAAGGCCACAGGGAGTTGATAAAAGCCTCCTGAGTATGTGTCTCTAAGTGCAGGGTTTTACTGTAGTATGAAATTCAAGGAACCACTCACTTGCGTTAGGGAACGAATCGGCCTACACATTGTCTCATTGGCAACACGGATGAAGCCAAGAGCCACGTCTTCGACAGACACCTTTGGGACAGACGTATCACGAGCTGCTGAATAAGCGTTGATCTGAAAATAGCGGCATCTATGAATTAGTTGGAAGATGAGTGAAAGTAAACCCGTCAACCCGTTGATGATTGTCAATAGGTTAACCTATAATGGAAACGGATTCAAGTGGCCAATGAACTGAGGAGTCCACAACAGCTTTTCCTTTTTCGCCACTACATTGTGTACGATTCTCATGGGGAAATCGCTAACCAAATAGAAGCCAAGCACACCCCATTCTATAGTGGTCCTGGGGTAATATGGGAAACATTCACAAGCAATCAAGCTGGGGAAAAAATAAAATCGCGAGCTTCTGACGGGAACGTCCGTGTTTCCCATGGGTTGCTCGGAAAATAGGCACCGTAATTAGACTTGCGATACAGGGTACTACAGGACGTTATTCAATATTCTTGACCAATTTCTGTCATGCAGGATAAATATCGCTGTTAGTTGCGGATTCCGATATTTTGTTCAGCAGCCGAGCAACCACGGAAACTACTAACGAGGTTGAGTGTTGTATGTGGCTTATCACGTGGACGGTTGTTGTATGGAACATTGGAGACAAAGTTGGAAGACGACCTAGAAAGCGCTTACTGAGGCTCACAAAGGCAACAGTACGTCCTGGTTTTAAGTTCACACTTCAGTTTTAGTCGGTTGGAAGTCACACCCACCCATCACAGGAAGCATAAACAAAGTTTGGTTATGAGTTCCGCGTTTCTTCTGACCTTACTCTAACTGAGGGTCCCAGGTTGGTAGTACCGCAGTGTGTGGTGAGGCACGTCCCCTTGAAGGCATGCAATTATGATTGAGGTGTATGTCCAAATTTTACTCCGCAAGATTAGCGCGTACAAACGTACTGAACTTTTTTGTTGAGCAAATTATCTTCAGATCCTTCATATCTAAATACAATAAACGATGTGCTCAGAATCCGTGTTGGTTCAAATATGATCAAAGAATTACGGCTTCTCGTGGGACAAGAATTGTTCGTTGGGTACCGTACTACATTGGACGGTGATGAACAGATCGCGTCAGAGGTAACTAATTCAAACAGAGATCGAACCGAAAAAGCTCACCTCGTTAGACAGTTGTACAAATGCCAGCCGTGCAGCTGCCAAATCCAACGGTGCGTTGTGTTCCGGACCGAATATTGCTGGAAAGTGGGCCGGCAGAAGGCGACCTAACACTAGGTTCGCGTCCGTTATGGTCAGCTTCCCACCGACGTTCCCATAAGCTACTGGGCCGGGGTATGCTCCAGCAGATTCGGGACCGACCTTCAGAAATGATTTTTTAAATTAATTGATTGAGTAAACAATACAGAACAGTAATCAAACACATGACTATATTGATTCATAAGACCAGAGTTAACAGAAAACTGTCGCGGAAGAAATGCTCTGGGCGTCTAAACGCATGAAGAAATTTTATCACAAGATAACTTAGTCATCCCAACCCAACACTCAGAAAAGTGAAGTAAAATTGGCTACATTTGAATGACCATGGTGACCGATAAGGCAGGGAAGCCTAAACAAAACTGATAGACAGCAGCGAAGACCTGTTTAGTTTGTTGCATGTGCTTACGTCAAGCATTCACAGGCCCTAAAGCTGTACAAGTATACCTATAACTGTACTGCAAACGTTACATCTGAGCTCTAGTAAGAATGTCGTTTTCTTTGGCATCTTCTATAGCCAGTACACAGCAGACAACGACCGGAAGCGAGTCACGGGTGGTATTATGATCGATTTTCTTGCTAAAGCTTGTTACATTGTATTCGTGCAGCGCAAAAGGTGCGTTGGGAAAGTCTGTAGGGACTTGGAGAGTTAAGTCAAATATGGGAAAGTGAGGACTCGAGGGTGTCGGCTACAATATAACCGAATGTGTCCATTCGGAAAATTATAGCGACAAAGTTGAAATTGCGGCTTGGGACTGAAGCTCCCTCTCTCTCTCTCTCTTGAATAACCTCTAACTTCTTTATTTCTGCTTTAGTGGCCTTCTATAATCTGATGATCTAGTCTTTCAGCCATATCCCCATCAATCTTATGGTTTCAACAATCCACTTGTCAAACTTCATTGCTCTTTGAATTAGAATATGAGTTGAACATTATTAATCTTGGCCATGGGCGAGTACGAGAGGATACAGGAGTAAAAAAGTTGGTCACCTGACCAACAACCTACGGTGATATGACCCAATGGACCTAATGGCCTAATCTATCTCCTGCCCTCAAAATCACGTTAGACACTTTGGAGGTGAATGAAAACTAGGCTGAAGAAATCCCGTGATACTTATTTATCGCTGCTTTTATTTCTGTGACCAAACAGGCCCAGGAGAGATTGCATTAACTAAATCAAACATGGTGTCTTTCGGCAAGGGCCGGGATGCTCTGATGAAATGGCTAGGTGAGCAGTCTGGAAAGGCATATTGTTCCTGACGTTATCCATTCCTTTTGGTGACACCCGATGATCCTGAGGGTGGTGGCTTAAGTCTTTGGTAGAGTGAGAGTAGAAAACTACTCTGTCTCTTGATACTTCTAAAAAATATCTTATCAATCTAATTGCCTGTTCCCGAAATGACTTTCAGCTGAGTAGAATCATTTGCGCTAATAGTTGACGTGTGGCAAGGTTATGTGCTGTTTCGGAATATCCTCCCTCAGATAAAACTTTTATTGATGGCATCAACTATCCAATCACTCATTTTTCAGACCAGGAGATGGCTTCTTCTCACAGAGTTCAACCACACACACCTACAGGTGACAAAGAAGAATGCACAATAGACGAACCTATGACCCTCGGCACACAATGTCAATGCAGTCGCACGCAAAATTTACTGACCTGTGATCGACAAAATCAAAGACAAGTTCACTGCACGAAAGGCTCTTCATCTAGTGTTATCATTTCGTAATTCGAATATGGCAGTTAGTCAGACGCAACCTAGTCTCTCCATTCCCTCCCATAATTTAATCCTGAAGCACCCCCACAATTGGAAGAAGAAGGGAAGTTTACACTACCTTTCGCACCGAATTCCTCTTTCCACCCTGTATATCAGCATACACAGTCCTTCCGATTCACTACCGGACACCATTACAAGGTTGTTCGTGGTTTTGAGTTACAACTACCTACTTTCAAACCATTTGCTTCGTAGTCTATCCTTTCCACACTGCATCACAATCGTCCCGGACTAAATTAAATTATTTTAAAGATTTATCTTCATCCCATATCTTTTATACTTGCAAAAACCGTTAAGTCTCTCTGATTCCAAAAATGTGGCTAGTAGTTCGGCCACAAAGAACTATGACCAAACTCGGTTAGCCCATTTTGTTAAAAGCTTCGACTTGCGATGTTTCAGACAGCGCCTTCTTAAGTGAAAACCAATAAGCAGTCAGATACCATCGTTCTACCGATGACATGGCTTGAAAGTCGCACGTCTGACCTCTCTTCCTCTGGACAGATTTTTGGAAATGAGTGGTCTCATTTGATGTATCAAAAGCGTTTGCTCAGGTCCTGCTTGCTGAACCTCTTGCAAAGCCTCACACGTGTGGGCTGTAGCCGAGCTCGGTCATGTGGATCGGAAGCTTCCTCCGCGGTCGCTCTATGCAGGTGCAAGTAGACGGCGTACTCTTAAATCCAGAGCAACAGTGCTGAAATACTGTCATCATATTTCTTCTCTTCTTGATTCCATTCAAGTTAAAATTGCACGTCTTATCAAAACCATTTTTCTGATCGCTAACTTGGGAACATAATCAACCGCTGTCTATCGCCTTCTGCCACTCATACTGCGGGAAATATTAATCTACCTGCCTACATCGTTCAACAGTGCAATTTCTTGTTGTCAAGCCCACCGCACCACTTTACTTCACGGTCATGTACTAACGATATCATCTCCATGGGTGATAAAGCGCTTGTAAATCAACTGTGGGGCTTGGCGAAAAAGTCGGTAGAGGACTATGTAGTCTAGGCTGTCAACACTTCAGAAGTACCGACCGAGTACAACGAGAGGTCATGACGTCCACAAGTGTTTTTCATTCAATGAAAATGTATACTGTAGTCCACTCATTGTTTGAATAACAACCGGTGCACCTGCCTGATGGATGGAAGAGGCGAACCATCTGAGGAGCACCTAAGTAGGATGATGACAACCAAGCTTGACAGTGTGATGAGCCTTCTAAGTTGGGTGTAAACATTAGACAGAACAAATGGAGATGGAAAAACCTGAATTAAACTTCATGGGCCAGTAGGACAGTGGTCCAGGAGGACAGTGACGAACTTCTGTGCGATGCACAAGTGTCCATCCATCTCTGCTGTCAAGGCACAGATTAACCTGTGTTCCACTTAGCATTACTTGTAATTGTTGAGAAATGGAAGGCGAAAAGAAGAAATAACAATTATAAACGCAGGATTCCTTAGTATTAGCGCGAAATATCATTGGGTCTATCAAATGTGCGGTCGACTTCGGTCGAACTCAAGGGCGATCGACAACTGGATGTAGCACATGGGCCACGAATGAGGACTGAAAGCTTAGGACAGCTTAAATGATTGTGCCACTAACCGAACCGTCTTAGATGTGATCATTCTGTTGATTCTTGAACAGGTCAGTCAAAAAGTATTAGAACAGTGTTTGGTACGTGGATGAACTGACGGACTGATCAAGTAGTTGACTCCCCAAGAACTCGGACGCATATAGTGGAAAGCTAATTTCGAGTGCCATCAAAAGCCAACGATGCGTTGTCTACAAAATGGCGCTTTACACCATGACTGGGACAAGAACCCAGAAATTCCTTAATTTGAGGACTTCGTAACATACAAACCATTCAAAATTATTTAGAGAACACTGAAGAGGCGATTACAATTACACACCCGATAAAGACCACTACTATAGGAGAGACAAGATCCTCCACCAGCGGCAACTGTGTTAACATCCAACTGCGGTGCCTGAATGCTTACGCCCGCCGTTGTTGTTTCAAACACATGTTCCAATTCACCACCAAAACGACTGACGTCCGTCGAAGTACCTAAAAACAGAGGAAAAAGGTGAATAAGCGTGGGTGATAATAGGCTGTTTTAGGCAGAGACACTTACCTCCCATGTCGAAACCAACTACCGGTTGTTTACCATCAAAGGATGTCTTCGCGTAAGCAATGACACCTCCAGCTGGACCAGAGAGGATAGCGCGAGAACCTAAAAAGCTAAATTGATGAGGTAGGAGAAATTATCATTTGTAGCCATATCAGATGCACGATTAACCCCAGTATGGAAAAAAACCCAAGCGGGAAAATTACCCGACGAAGTAAATAAATAAATAAATAATAACCGTTCAGCTGGAACATCCTTCCTGGGCCTAGCTACCACGCCACAGGAAGCACGAAGGCTGAGATAGTGCCGGCTTGTCCAAGCAGTCGTAAATGTAGGGATTGGGTTCGAACCACGGAACTACCGGTTAGTTAGTGTTTTAAGCACTGAGTCACCTCAACAACGTAAGGATGCTGCAAAAGCTTACAATCCTCAAGGGACAAATCTACTGTCATCCAGATCGGTCCTATGCAACGCCCCAAAGTCAACAGAATAGTCAGATTATTCAAGGGTTAACAATGGACCAAACAAGACGTTGAGTAGCAGTCACCTATCAGTATGCTGAAATTTACCACAGAACATGGAAGCGGCAGGAAGAGATCAAGATAGAGGCAACCTTCGAGAAATACACTCATTTGCAATCAATTTGGTAAAACTCTTCGACAACCCACGACCGGTTTCGCCCTTCTTTGGGGTTCATGAGGTAGGCGCAGTCACCGATTTTCCGTCAACCTTATGTTCTACTTGAACCCAAATTGGACTGTTTTCGAGAAATACACTCATTTGCAAATCAATTTGGTTTTCACAAGGGACTCAACTGAATCTCTTGTTTATGAGTTGAGTCTCTCGTGAAAACCAAATTGATTTGCAAATGAGTGTATTTCTCGAAAACAGTCCAATTTGGGTTCAAGTAGAACATAAGGTTGACGGAAAATCGGTGACTGCGCCTACCTCATGAACCCCAAAGAAGGGCGAAACCGGTCGTGGGTTGTCGAAGAGTTTTAAGCAACCTTGTGAGTAGTTTCCTTTATGAAAATAGAGGCAACCTGTTTTAAATACTTTTTTTAAAGGATCCTGAGCGTGCGGTTTTAAACTCCTGTTGGATGTGTGTGAGAGGACCGGTCAGCAACATGTCACTTAATGTGACGCTAAAAAATTTTACAACATGGAAAGGAATGGAGAAGTTTCCACACAATAAGCATTGGAAAATGCTGTTCTGAGTGAACTGTTGTCTTCTTTCTTTGTGGTTGCGTCTTTGCTCTTTTCCCCGAATATACGAAATGCCAAAGAAACTACCGAGGACATGGCGATGATGTACATGCCTCCAATAAGGAGTAGCCGAAAGCTATTCCCAAGGGGAGGTGTAATTTGAACATCCGGTGCAGCTGCAAACGGTACGCTCACGTAGGTACTCATATATGGTCTACAGTGACACTCCGGTCGATCCTTAAAGTACCCCATGCATAGTGCATTGTAGTATTATTAACGAAGAAGTAGACAGTAAACTGGTACTGTACCGTGACTTTCGTAACAAAATAACACGTTACCCGAGGATGTGTCTGGTTCACAGCTGTCAGAGTCTAACCCGACAGCACTGTAAAAACTAGGAAACGTGAATCTGGACGAGAAATTGCCGATGGCAACTTAACTTGGGATAAAGAAAAAAATAAAGAATAAGGCCTAGAAGGAGAGTCTAACCCGACAGCACTGTAAAAACTAGGAAACGTGAATCTGGACGAGAAATTGCCGATGGCAACCTAACTTGGGATAAAGAAAAAAAATAAAGAATAAGGGCCTAGAATAAGGCCAGGTGGTTGCTGTTGCTACTAAATCCTAATTGCCTTAAACAAGAGACTCAGTAGTTCGGCCACGGTAACCTGCCTGAACAGTGTTCATTCCCAAGCAACACGTTTGGAGTTTATGTGCTCCGATTGGGGAAGCATCTAACGGGACAATTCAAAGAAATCTGGCATTCGTGGAAAAAAACGTTCAATGGACTAATTATATACATGATCATGTTTCCACATCAGTGTTGCTGTATGCGACGGTAAATGGTCAAAACGGAACTGACCACAAGGAGCAGATTAAAAAAAACGCGTTATTTTCTCTCAGAGAAGACTTCCCGCATGAGAGGAGGAATGATAGACTCAGATATGATATAAAGGAAAGTTAGTCACATTGCTCCAAATCAGCTTAGGTTAGGAACTCTGCTCAGGTCGGTCAAGTAAGTGCTGCGCCTGACAGTAGTCACCAATTCAGAACACATCTGACAGTTATCAACTTTGTGGCATTAGTTAACTGAGCTATGTGAACTGAACGTGACATGTTAGCTACTTCGGAACTTAAAGGATGAAATCACGACCCGAAACAGTTTTATAGGCTTATGTTGCGAGCAAACCAGCTTCCATATACACTGCCCCCACGACAAACACAGCTCAATTATACATTTTAGAATCAGTAATCAGCATTACGGTGCATTGCCTACAAAATAGCATATTGGACTCCCATTAACTTACTCATTCGCTGGAGATAATCCACCATCGGACTGCATGAAAAGTACTTGCATGTTACCAAATGCACCACGAAACCCTTTAGAAAAACTTTCAACGTAATTTCGTATGCAGGGGGTCAGGTATGCATCTGCCGTAACTGAAACAATTAGAAGAAGATGATGGAAAAACCTACCTGTGAAAGCTCGAGGTACTATTTTTATCATCGGCATCACATTGTGTGAGACGGAGATGTTAGAGAAACCAATATTTCGTGCGATTTCCGCCACCATCAATTCGTGTTTAGGGTATAGATAAGAGTGCATAAGTACGATCGCCAAACTTTTCACCCCGCTTTCAAACAACTTCTGCAGATCCTCTCGAGTCTTGTTCACGTTTAGTGGTGATTGAACTAAAACCTGAAGGCTCGTAAGAAGAGTTAAAAAGCTTTACTGTTTCACCAGTGACTGCGAGATCTTCCGGTACATTTAATTCCAACTGACATGACGCTCTTTTCAAAACAACACGCTCCTCGATTTCAACGATATTCTTGTACAATACGTCAGGCATCTCAATGCGCTAAAGTGATGTGTCAATGAGAGAGCATTATAATAAAAACTGTACAAGGTCAAAGATATTTGGTCGAGACTGATTTCCGATCTGCAAAAGGTCCCGAAATCCTTTAGTTATTGCTAGTGCACAGGTTTCACCTTTCCTTTCAAGCAGCGCGTTGGTTGCGGCCGTCGTTCCGATTCGAACAGAATCAATTTGAGAACAGTCCATGGGGGCATTTGGTAGTGATTCAAACACACCGTCCTTAGAAATATATATGCATGTGAATAGAGCACATACTTGCACCATAATTCTCCGAATAGCCTCCAAAGAGGCATCAAGATAATGCCCTGGATCTTCGGACAATAATTTCATCACATGAACTCTGCCGTCAGGACATTCAGCATAAACGTCGGTGAATGTTCCACCTCGATCGATGGCAAATTTATAAGACATGACTGAAATGTAAAGAGATATGATCAGGTCCATCGCATGCGCAGTAGAATAAGCTTTTGTTTGGGAAGGTTCTGCATGCAGCATTCAATAGTGCAGAATACTCATTATACAGCATTGTGGTGGGTAAATATCTAGTACCCTAAAAACATACCCTGTAATCGAAACAACGAATATCATAGTATCATCTATCGGAAAGAATTGAACAACTATTGCTCTAGTGGTTTGGTAACGTAGCTTCTCAGTTTCCATACAATTCAATCTAAACTATATCTTCAAACCACCACTGACTTTCCGCGTGGTAAGACTTTCGCAATCGAACTTCGCGTCACGATTGTTACATTGACCACAAAGCGCGTGTATAACTTGCAGCCGCTGCAGCATATTACTGGGTTGAGTTATTGCATTATTGTACACTATATCACCTTCTGATGCACATACTATTTTATATGATCTCATGACAGAATCGGCTCACTCAGAAGATTTGGTCGTTATTATTTAAACCATACCGGTGTATTTTGAAATCCAGAGGTCGTGACAACGCAAAATTACGACATATTTCTGACGACCACCTTCCGCGATCGAACCGCGAAGTCAAACACACCCACATAACGCTGAAAAACAGTGGCATTTTTTCTATACTGAGCCGGATAGATTTAGCTCTGGTGTGAAGACATATTGAGATGAGGAGAGAAACAAAGTATCATGCACACCAATGTTATGTAGTTCGAAATATAACGATGAGACGCAAATAGCTTGTAATTCACCTACAGTAAACTGGTGATCCAAAAGGCGATATGTTCAGCTGTAACCCACCTTCGGTGCCTAGTTATCATGCCACCCAAAGGAAACACGAGGGCTGAGATATTGTCAAGCTGCCCAAGCTCAGGCAAGAAGTCGAGATGCCCGGGTTGGGTTCAAACCGCCGAACTTCGGATGGGTAAGTTCGCGCCTTAACCATTGAGCTATCTGGAGCTCAAAAGATATGGAAATTGAAAAGACAGGAAGACCAATGGATGGATGGGAATATGTACTAATTTGGTACAAATATAACTTCAATTTCAGTCCGTGTAATCCCAACCGCACTCTTCATGAAATAACAACTGCAGCATCAATAGCGGGACTTTCGAGTCTCCTTTTCACCACGTGTTTCGGTGGGCCTTTATTATGGATAACGAATGAAGATGCACGGCTGTCCATTCTCCGATCCCATAAGGTGTACAATGGACACCCATAAAAAATGGATGGAAGAAGGCCAAACCATTGGAACCATAGGACTGCCGACTTACGGAAACCCTGGCGGTTTGATTGAGTAAAAGGTAAAATTGATAAAAAACAAAACCTGAACCTTAGACCATGCCAAATCGAGTGAAGCCGTACGTACCATCCAAACAAAAATAATTTTCTGCCCCAGAATAGGCTGCAGCGCAACGAATGACTGATAGCTAGTCCAGGATATGTCCTTCCAACATTCACCGGTCCATCTTGAGGTTCTTTGGTGATTTTTTGGTCATACTCTCGCTTGTCCCGATGCCCCAACAGCTCAAAAAACTGAAGACTGACATCTTATAGTCAATCCTCAAGAAGTTATGTTAACTAATATCCTCAGCTGTTTTAAGATAGCCACGGCTGAACATTTCCACTGAGCAAAAGATCCGTTCAGTCGGTAAGCAAGCCTGTAACCGACAAAATTACGAAATCTCCTTCTCCCATGTCATTACTACTGGTAATGACAGACTCCAAAGTACTTTTCATTAATTAACACGTTGTGAACGATGACAGCCTAACACCTTAAAGAGTGTGATTGTAACCATTTCCCATCAAAACCAGCCCTTCGATTAATGAGTTCCATTCTAATGCAAACATTCCAAGTAACAGAACTATTGTCGAAAATTAAGATAATACCCACGTTTCCCAATGGGTCAGTTACAAGTTACGTACACGCAGGGCCCCTCTGCGTGCAGCAAGCGTTAAACAGGAAACGAAGTTAGAAATTTTACCCCTTCGATATATTCGCAAATCAGCACCCTACGTTGTCGGTCTCTAATCTTCTGTCTGCCTACTGATCATCATCATCACCATCAGTGGTGAACACCGATGCTTTGGTGCCGTACAACAGCAATCTATTCGAAAGCGTTATCATGAGAACAGGGCAGGGAAGATATCTGAAACTCCGAACGATCAGTCAAACAACCTGAGAGGAAGCAAAAATTAATGACGCCGGTCAGACGTTGTTTCCGGGAATATCTTTATCCAAGCACATTGAGGATCACGGGGACCCCATCCTGGAAAGCGCACCACACCAACATCCACGTTATTCGTACTCTTTTTCACGCTTCCGCCAAGTCACACATTGGCAGTCCCCTAGTTTGTGCCATTCTCGAGGAGGCGCAATGAAAAACGATGGTGATTTGGAATGCGTATACTTGACTCAGCCATCGCAGTTGACGGGAGTGAAAGTTCTCCATGGCTGAAGTACCTACCGCACAACCGAACGTCCCTTTAATAATTACCGCGCTACAAATTTGTTGACACCATCCGACATCAGCAATACTTCTGAGGTGTGGATGGTGAAAAAACCGTAAAGATGCCTCACATCATCGGTCCGCAGGAGCTAGTATCTCGCAACCATGCAACAATACAGCCTGTACTATAGCATGGTAAACTCGACACTTGAGATAAAGTAATATGCTTTATTGATGCCAGAAGTGATGTGAATTAGCAAACGTGATTCGCGTCCCTGAGATTCATGCACTAGCTTCATCGGACAAACTTCCGTAAGAGCTTGTACAACAAAAAATGGTATGTAAAATTCTCCAGTGACTTTCCTTCGAGGGCAAGAGCATGTACAGATGCCACACATTCTGAAGCGTGACTGTTCAGGTGTAAGGCTCATGCCGAAGGACGTCATGACAGTAGTCGGTTTATTCAACAGAGCTCGTGCTTGGCCTACACTTCACACATTATAGGGATGTTCCCTGCGTACTCCAACATCAGCGTACACCAGCAACGATACGAACACCAGGTTCAAAGGCAACCCGACGTTCGCCTCATTGTTCCATCAATGACAAATCTGTACAAAACTGGAGAGTGGACAACTTTCTAGGGCGGTTTGCACAGACAGGATTGAACGCACATTTAAAATCAAGGAATACCTAGATTGTGGATTGTCTGTACGTATAGCGTTTCTCTAACACATGACGGAGTGTGAGGATATCGACGCAGCCTCCACCCGGTCGAAGTCCCATTTGGTACTAGCGGATCAAGGATTCGCTTGCCGTCGTGAGACGCCGAAGAACCAGTGACGCCAAAAACCTTGTTACATGGAGAGTCAAACTAACACCTCTGTAATTACCACATTCACTGCGAGTACTCCTTTTGAAAGTGGACACTCACTCCAGTTAGTTGGGACGGCCGCTTCCTCCCAGATAGATAAGCTAGACATGCAATGGCTGAGGAATTCACCGCCTTGAAGACAGAAGGTGGAAGGGAGTCAGGAGCACGGTGACGCTTGAGTAGAGATATACACTCGGATACTCATAAATTTGAAGGCGACTCCACGTTCACAGCCCACATTTCTATTGAAGGCGGGCAGCTCGGACTATAGGTAGCAGGTGGCCAGCTGAGTTGTTGTTCATAATGTGCCCAGTGGTCAAAACGTTCTTCTTTGATGGATATCACAGAGCCATTCTGATCCCTGATAGTTTCGCTGAAAACAGGTTTCCGAGGTCCAGTCGAACAAATCAGTACTTTTCGCCTTTCCATTTCTTCGGCCTTTTGGGTCCACCAACATTCTGGTCTGCAAAGACGCACTGTTTTACCTGATGTTGAATGATGCGTCACGTTGGACTGCGACTGCGATCAGCAGGGATCTGCCGCCGGGCCTCACATCAAAGTCATGGTCCTATCAGAGATCCAGCGCTTGGATGTTGGGTTGTACCGGAAATAGAAACCCCGGCATCATGTAGGGCTTTGGATATTTGTCTCCAGTGGCCACCGACATCCGATAGCGGACCATTCAGCAGACGTTAGAGGAGACGATTCTGACGAATTTGTTTAGATTTTGAATCCACGAACTTTTCAAAGGCTAAGCGATGTGTGCGCGTTTTGCGTACACGAGTAGTGCGGTGAAAAGCAGTAACGGACAAATGCCTCATCAACGTATACAAAAGTAAATCCAGCTGGAGCGACAGGCAGTGACTGACTCACCAAGTAGTAGCCCATCAAGTACAGACGCCTCCGTCTGGTGGCTAGACACCCAGCCCGGCATGTTCAGCTGCAGTGGCCTCCGTATGACTAGAGGTGCACAGCCGGAAGCAATCAGAGGGCAAGGGTGCAATTAGTTCAGTTACAACACTTGAGTTCTGCATTGTTTCTCACGGACGGGGCACATCAATACAGACGGAGTCGAGTGTACGAGTGAAGACCAATTGTTGTTATGCTTGCATAACTGCGCGAACATTAAAAGCAACTAGGTAGACCGGCTTTCGGGATTCGAAAACTGAATTCCAGGTATCTGGGGCTATTACTGAAGAAGGACCCGCGGAAGCTGCAGCTGGGCTTGATGAATGGTAAACAGGGTAGTCCTGGAGCTCGGACTTGCAAAGAGATTATTCACTTTGGGGCTAGACAGAGTAGAACAGGAAATACGTGAAAGTGCAACAGGAGAGGAGTCAGAAGTAGTGTTTCCACTTACCAACTCCGCTGCATGCAGCAAGTAAGGTGACTTGGTTGATGACACCACACGACAGCAGAACGATTAGGATCCCCAACCACAGCCAAAAGTCTGACAGGAAGGTAGCGGGTGATTGTGTGGGCAGGCTACCACAGTAGAACAAGGTTTCAAAGAACAGGTCACTGAATCTGTTCAGACTTCCCAAACGGAGGAGCAGGAAACTGTGTTCATCACACCTCTACTATCAAACCCGGTACGAGAAACTCGACATATATCAGAGTGAAGTCCCTTGTATAGGACAGACTGAGTCTTACCGTGGTTTGACGGT